ATCTACCGACTCGAACCTATTGGGCCTATCTCGTGGCAGTCGAGCAAGCAGGAACTAATCGCTCTCTCCTCAGCTGAAGCAGAATACATTGCACTCTGCTCAGCCACCAAGGAAGGCTTGTATCTTCGTGAACTGCTGGAAGAAGCAAAGTTGGCCCAGTTACCCAACTTCTCTCTGTTCTACGACAACCAATCTGCAATTCGCATAGCGAACAAGAACGGGTTCGCGAACCGGACGAAGCATATCTCCCTACGATACTTCTTCGTAAAAGACGAGATGGAGAAGGGGAGACTCGAGCTATCCTACTGCCCCACGTCCGATATGGCAGCCGACTATTTGACCAAGAAGCTCGGAAAGCAGAAATTCGAGTACTGCATGCTGCTGACTGGACAAAGCCACGTCACCAGCAGCGACACTCCAGAAGCGAAGGGGAGTGTTGGAAACAAGTAACTTAACGCTTCTGATGTGTCGAAACATCGAACTGTAAACGAAGCAAATAGCAATGAAGCAACAGCGAGTCAACCATCGGAGGTTGACAAACTGCTGGAGGTTACGCGAAGGTCAAAGGTCAGCAACCTTTGACTTGACAAATACGGCGCGACAGCAAGGACAAACAACTGATTTGATACTGAGTAGTTGCCCGAGTCGTCACTGTATCGAACCGCAACAGCAACAGTAAAACAGTTATTAGTTGCACCCTTTCATATTCCTTGTAATCTTATAAAAAACTTGTGCCGTATCGCCCCGGGTAGTAGCGCCGCCTGATTAAAGGCGCCGTCACTTCTATCTGGAGCCATGCGCTTATGGTCGGTACTCAATTATAAGCGCACCCCCTAGAATGCCTGTACTTTTTATAAGCGCATCCCTTCCCCCCAGGGGGTAGTCTTTCCACTATGTTTTTTTAATCTAAACATTTCTTCCTACACTAACATGATTTCTACACATGCCTCTCTACCAATGGTCGCATTACACATTAAGAATTACACCCCTAACTAGAAATCTACTCGTCGTCAGACTCCGGCTCCTCGCAGTTGTTGCCAAACAAGTCGTTGGCGACGATCTCGTCATCGACGTCGACCTCGTGGGTCAGCTGGCTCCGCCTGTGCGCCATGGCAAGGTTGTCCTCACTGCCGTCAAGCGCGTTGCTGATGCCACAGGTGAGGAACGCCTTCTTGATCAGCTCTGGTGGCACGGCCTTCCAGGCCCGTGAGATCCACCTGAGCACCACCGCAGTGGGCGGCTTCTTGATGTTCCCTGCACCACAAATCGGAGTGTGGGAGATGGTGTTAGCACAAGATACACCGGGAAACGAAGCAGCCAACTAGGGATCAACAGTGGGGTTCTTACCTGCAGGCGTCAGCCGCTCCTGGCCCTCCTCTTCAAACCAGGTCTGGTACTGCTGGCGGATGCTTGCTTTGAAGGACTTGTTGATCGAGACGTCGAGGGGCTGTACCTCCGCCGTACAGCCCGACGGGATCACCGCCGGAACGATGTCGAGGTCGACGAACTTCTTCCTCACTTCGTCCGTGAGATGACCGCGGTAGGAGTCAAGGACGACCATGGCACTCCTCGCCTGCCTGCCAAACCGAGGCCGGATGAAGGGCTTGACGCACTCCTCGAGCCAGCATATGACGCCGTTGGCGTCCATCCAGCCGTTCGGGTGCACCGCCATGACCACATCTGCGATATCACAGACAGCCAAGAAACAGGCGTTATTATCACGACTGGAAAACCAAACATCTACTGACCGTGGTGTGTTTTTACCTGGCGGGAAGTCACCCTTCGGCACCGTCTTGCGCTTGAAAAAGACCCACGGCTTGAGCTTCTCGCCGTCCGCCGTGCACGCCAGCATCACGGTCACGCGTTCCTTCTGGTACCCCCCGCTCCTCATGGGCACTGAGCGAACGCTCGTCTCGTCCACAGTAGTCGTGGCGGGCATCTCCAGCCACAGCGGCGTCTGTTCGGCGTTGATAATCCAGCGGGTTTCGATGCCGCGCTCACGCCGCTTGTCACGAACGTACTGCCAGAAAGACTGGCACAGCTCCGCGACGTCTGCGCATACACAGACAATGATAAGAGGCAGTGGTTAGTCAACGACTTTGATTGAAAAACACAACAAGCACGCGGTACAGTAATTCGGCACTTACGTTCAGTGGTCTTCTGGGCAATCCTCGTCTTCATGCGCACACTCAGATTCCACCGTTTTCGAAACCGCTCCGACCACCACTGGCTGCCCTTCCACTTGACGTCGGGGAACAGAACCTTCAAGTACTCCTTCGACCACTCCTGTAGGCGACCGACGGAGACGGCAGTTCCTTTGCGGCGCCACTCGAGAAGCCTGGCGTAGACTTTCAGCTCCATCGGCCTGTACCACGATGCCCTCTCACGCCCATGCATCCGCTTCCGTGCTGAGTGCGCTTCCTTGAGCATGGCGGCGGCTTTCTTCCACTCCGCGAGACACTTGCGGTGGATTCCTAACTCGCGAGACAACGAGCGCAGCGACACCGCCACATCCATGCACCCAATCCACTGCAGCTTCTCCTGCGCTGTATAAGCGTTGCGCTTATGCTGCGACGGCTTGTGTCTGGGAGAGGGGGGGCGGGAATCACGGTTCTCAGAAGAGGGGCGGGGGCGCTTGCGGTTAACCGGAGGAAACGTAGGAATAGGGAGCTTCTCGGGAAGTCCGTCGCGCGACCAATACTCCACACCGTCGTCGTCCTCGCCGCCCGGGGCACCCTCGGGAAACACATCTGCCGCGTTGCCGGCCTCGGCACCAGTGTCGGTGCCAGTGTCGGTGCCGGCCTCGGTGCCAACCTCGGTGTCGGGCACATCGTCGTCAGCGCCCACAGCAGATTCGTCCCACGCACAATCTTGCGGCTGGCCCCATCGTGGTGCCGGGGCCGGAGCTGAAACCCAGACGTCGGGGGGCTTGTTGTTGTCAGGTTCCGACAGGTACTCGCCGAACGCCGACGGGTGCAAGAGCGTCAGCACGGGAAGATTTGATGGGCCGGCAAACACGGGTGGACTCGGAGGAGCAAGTGGAGCTGGAGGTGCAGGAGGACATGGAGGAGATGGCGGCGCAGGCGGCGCCGGAGGCTACGGTAGCTCTGGGGGCGATGTTGGGATACGGCTATACCAGCCGTGAGCGTCCACCCTAGGCGGGCCTAGGCTTCTTCTTGAAAAGGAAGTGGGTGCCGGTGAATTCCGCCATGGCTTTCGCAGCCTAGCAGGCGAAACATGCTAAACTGATTCAAAACCAGCAAGAAAAGAGAAGAAATGGACTTCAGACGGGACCCCTGCGGGGAAGCGGCTCGCCCTCCTCGACAATGATAGGCGGGTACCCCCACAGCCTGAACCAGCAGAGGATGAAAATGGGCGGGACACATGCTGTGGTGGCAGGGAATATTCGATCCCCTTCTAGAGGGATCGGATGAGCTGTCCCTGCCTGGCATCGCATGACAGGGGATTGGGCCGTACGACAGCTTCCTAGTCAGCGTTGGCAGATGTGTTGCTCCGGGACAGGATTTGTGCGGTGGGAAATCGAGTCGCTGCTGTTTTCGCCTGCATTTCATGCACGAAACCGACGTGAACGTTTGATAGGCGAATTCGCCTTAATGGGAGCTTCAATTTGGTACCCTTACAAACAATTTTTTCTTTTTCCATTTTATAAGCGCATGCTCTTATGCCCTTTCCCCAATTACAAGCGCACCCCCTAAAAAAATCGATTTATTATAAGCGCATATGCGCTACTATCCGGGGTGATACGGTACTACATTTTCTATAATTATTCTATCTTGCCCTCACAAACTAGTGCAAGGTGGTTCAACACTTTGTGAAGAAAATGAGGAATGAATGAACTAGCACAAGGTTGGGTACAAGTAGGAAACCCTAGGAAACTGTACCCCATAGTGTCTACCCCACTATAGCCTAGACAAGCTATATGATATGAGTTTGACACACCCCCATAGGCACAGTGGGGGAGAACAAGAGGTCACAAGACCAGTCAAGCAAAGCAAAGCAAGCTCAGGGTGGATCACAACGTCACCACACAATCCGAGCACAAGAGCAAGGCCACAAGGCCAGTTCACATGCAAGATCATATATAAAGGTAAACAGGCAAGTGCAGGTATAGAAAGATCACAGTACAAGCAAGGTCAAGAAGTGAGCAAGTGAGGCCAAGTAGGCACAAGACCTAGCATCGTACAGAAGCGCTGATGATCACCAGGCGGAAGTGCCTTGGTAAAGATATCAGCAGTGTTGGCCTCAGAGGCCACGTAAGCAAGGCGCAGCTGACCACGCTGCTGCAGCTCACGAGCAAGGAAGTAGCGAAGAGCAATGTGCTTCGTTCTGTGCTCCAGTCTGTGCTCCCGACACAAGGCCAGCATGGCCTTGTTGTCTACGTACAGAACTGGAGGAGAACGAGGCGGCTCTCCCAGGTCGGTCAGCAGGTAGGTGAGCCAGCGTAACTCCTGTGCAGCCATGGCTCCCGCGTAGATCTCAGCCTCACAGCTGGAGCCGAGAACAGAAGACGAGCGGGTAGACCGCCACGAAACAGAGCCGGAACCAAGGCTGAAGGTGTAACCCTGTGACGACCGCTGCGTAGCCTGGTCGTCAGCCCAAGAAGCGTCTGCGTGACCTGTGAGGACCACTCGACGTCGCCCTCCAAGCACTAGCCCCATGCCCGACGTACTGCACAAGTAGCGCAACACCCTCTTCGCTGCAGCCATGTGCTCTGGTCGGTATCTCCCAGGAGCAACATAGCGTGCCAAGATGCTAAGAGGGTATGCAAGGTCAGGCCGTGTGCAGGTCATCAGGTACATGAGGCAGCCAACAAGCTCTGGGTACGGGCCACTCGGCTCTACGGACTCATCCGAAGGCAGAGCTGAGAGCGAGTGGCGAGTAGACAGAGGAGTGGCCTGAGGCACCTGCCCAACAACACAAAAGAGAAGAGAAGAGAAAGAAGAAGCTGTAGGGTAGATTGAAATCCCGCGCCACTCCTATCAGAATGTCCACCCGCTGCTGCAATTTTGAGAATTCTCAAGAATGTCCAGCTGCTGCTGCAGGGTCAGGGGGGGTATATTACCTGAAGAACAAAGCAGAAGAGAGAAGCAATGGAAAGGGATCAGAAAAGAGCAGGAGCAGAGCAAGAGCAGCAAGAGGAGGAGCAAACAGAGGTGCCCACGTGTGCCATCACCATGCAAACAGAGGTGCCCATGTGTGCCATTGACATGCAAACAGAGGTGCCCACGTGTGCCATTGCCATGCAAACAGAGGTGCCCACGTGTGCCATCACCATGCAAACAGAGGTGCCCACGTGTGCCATTGCCATGCAAACAGAGGTGCCCACGTGTGCCATTGCCATGCAAACAGAGGTGCCCACGTGTGCCATCACCATGCATGCGGTGGAATAGGTGAACTCATAGATGCCGATCTACTCCATGCGCTCCGTCAGACGTCTCAAGAGTGCTCTGGCTTTTGAGTCGACTCAAAAGTGTTGTGCCCACCTGCATCATTGCCGTGCATGCGGTGGTACAGGTCCCCGTTGGGCATGTATTCATAGAGGGCCATTTGCTCCATGCGCTCCGCAAGAGGAGGAGCAGGCAAGAGTAGCAAGAGGGAAAGGGGGTGGTGCGGTGGTGCCCACCTTTGCCGTTGCCGTGCATGCGGCGGTACAGGTCCCCGTTGGGCATGTATTCATAGATGGCGATTTGCTCCATGCGCTCCGCCGCCGCGTCATAGTCCAGGCAGAAGCCCAGCAGCCGCACCAGGTTGGGGTGGTGCTTTGATGCCATCTCGTTGATCTGATGGGGAGGGGGATGGGGAGGAGGGTGGGGAGGGAAGAGCCGTCGACTATTGAGTCGACTCATCAGTCACAACAACCTCACCTCGCATTGGAAGTCGTAGGTGAGCACTCTGGCGTGCTTCACAGCCCAGGGCGTGCTTCACAGCCCAGGGCGCGCTTCACAGCCCAGGGCGCGCTTCACAGCCCAGGGCGTGCTTCACAGCCCAGGGCGCGCTTCACAGCCCAGGGCGCGCTTCACAGCCCAGGGCGCGCTTCACAGCCCAAAGCGGGCTTCACAGCCCAGGGCGCGCTTCACAGCCCAGGGCGCGCTTCACAGCCCAGGGCGCGCTTCACAGCCCAGGGCGCGCTTCACAGCCCAGGGCGCGCTTCACAGCCCAGGGCGCGCTTCACAGCCCAGGGCGCGCTTCACAGCCCAGGGCGCGCTTCACAGCCCAGGGCGTGCTTTACAGCCCAGGGCGCGCTTTACAGCCCAGGGCGCGCTTCACAGCCCAGGGCGTGCTTCACAGCCCAGGGCGTGCTTCACAGCCCAGGGCGTGCTTCACAGCCCAGGGCGTGCTTCACAGCCCAGGGCGTGCTTCACAGCCCAGGGCGTGCTTCACAGCCCAGGGCGTGCTTCACAGCCCAGGGCGTGCTTCACAGCCCAGGGCGTGCTTCACAGCCCAGGGCGTGCTTCACAGCCCAGGGCGTGCTTCACAGCCCAGGGCGTGCTTCACAGCCCAGGGCGTGCTTCACAGCCCAGGGCGTTCTTCACAGCCCAGGGCGTGCTTCACAGCCCAGGGCGTGCTTCACAGCCCAGGGCGTGCTTCACAGCCCAGGGCGTGCTTCACAGCCCAGGGCGTGCTTCACAGCCCAGGGCGCGCTTCACAGCCCAGGGCGCGCTTCACAGCCCAGGGCGCGCTTCACAGCCCAGGGCGCGCTTCACAGCCCAGGGCGCGCTTCACAGCCCAGGGCGAGCAGCCATGATGTGCACTATGAGTCGACTGGAAACACACACATCACAACCAGCCCACCCACCTCGCGCCGAAAGTCATTAGTGAGCACTCTAGCGCGCTTCACAGCCCAGGGCGTGCAGCCGTCGAGGGGGCTCACTCCCCGGTACACGTCACCATACCCGCCGCTGCCTATGCGCCTGTCCTCCGCCCACCCTCCTGTTGCGCGCAGCACATCCGCCATGCCCACCTGCTGGCACAGCAGCGGCACTGGGAGGAGGGCGGAGGAGGAGGGGGTGACGACAGGAGGGGGAGGAGGGGAAGGAGGAAGCTGCGAAGGAGGAGTGGAAGGATTGGGAGATGAGGAGGCAGGGTCAGTGTGGGAAAGATTGGCCCACGAGTCCAAAAGCTCATTTCCCCTGTTGCCTGCCACGACACCCCCCCCTCCTCCCTGCAAGTCCCCTTCCTGATGCTCCACCTCTTCCTCCATATGCGTCAGTGCTGTTGCCACGTCATCACGCACTATCTCCAGCTCAGCAAGGACTCGCCCCAAGGAGGGCCGGGAGGAAGCAGGCATGGCGGTGCATGCGAGCCCGACACGAGCCAGCCGCACCAAGCTAGGAATAAGAGCATTCGGTATCAGCATAACCACTGTTCCCAGTCGGTCGGGAACGTTGGGAACATTGGCAACACCCAGTGTAGTATCAGCAGCGCTGGCAGCTGCTGTGCCTGCTGTGGTGGTGGTGCTGGTGGTGCTAGAGGGTGCGCTGGTGCTGCTGGTGGCGCTGCTGGTGAGACTGCTGGCGGTGCTGCTGGTCGGGATGCTGGCACTGGTATTGGTGGTGGGTGGGAGGGAAGAGGAGGCGAGCACGGGATCGAAGAGAGCAGCAAGGTTGTTGGCTTGAAGCTGCGTGTCAACGTGGTGTGGGGTGAAGGGCAGGAACATAGAGGGCGGAGTGTGGGGGACAGTGCAAGGGGGGAGGAAGAGGAGGCGAGCGTGGGATTGAATAGAGCAGCCAGGTTGTTGGCTTGAAACTGCGTGTCAACGTGGTGTAGGGTGAAGGGCAGAGGGGGGGGGGTCAGAGGGGGAATTCCTCTCGGGCGTAGCAAGGTGTCATGCTGACTTGAGACGTGAAAGGGTGAGATGCTGACTTGCGACGTGAACGGGTGAGATGCTGACTTGCGACGTGAACGGGTGAGATGCTGACTTGAGACGTGAACGGGTGAGATGCTGACTTGCGATGTGAACGGGTGAGATGTTGACTTGAGACGTGAACGGGTGAGATGCTGACTTGAGACGTGAATGGGTGAGATGCTGACTTGCGACGTGAACGGGTGAGATGCTGACTTGAGACGTGAACGGGTGAGATGCTGACTTGCGACGTGAACGGGTGAGATGCTGACTTGAGACGTGAACGGGTGAGATGCTGACTTGAGACATGAATGGGTGAGATGCTGACTTGCGACGTGAACGGGTGAGATGCTGACTTGAGACGTGAATGGGTGAGATGCTGACTTGAGACGTGAACGGGTGAGATGCTGACTTCCGAGACGTGAACGGGTGAGATGCTGACTTGCGACGTGAACGGGTGCGATGCTGACTTGCGACGTGAACGGGTGAGATGCTGACTTGCGACGTGAACGGGTGAGATGCTGACTTGAGACGTGAAACATGAACCCCACAACAGACACACTATGACCCAGAGAAGGTTGATAGATGCTGGGAAATAGGTTGGGGGAGAATCATGGAGGGAGGAGCATAAGGGGCGGAGCACGGAGGGGGACGCATGGGGGAGGAGCATGAAGGGAGGAGCATGGAGGGAGGAGCATGGAGGGAGGAGCATGGAGGGTGGTGCACGAGGGGAGGAGCGAAACATAAGAAATCCGTTACCAGTAGCGATAAGGATAGATAAGAGTGGGGGGGTCCTGTTTTTCGCATCAGCGGGTGTGAGTGGCTGAGTCTCCTTCTGCCTTACCATTGCGGTGAACACAAGGAAGATTCGGAGAAGTCTCCAGACCGAAATTACACCTGAAACAGACACTGTCAGCGCAGTACTGCGCTGTTTTGAGGCGTCCCAAAACTCACCAACACTAGCTAGGGCTGCCAGGCATGCCTCTCAGAATGCAACACTCGCCCTCCCCCCCAGTGTGTTAGAATTCTATGTATAGCATGCTAAGTATAAAGGGGTTGGGGCTACACCCAACTTTGGGTGTAGCTTGCTTTGTAGGCCTACACCCAACGTTGGGGTGTACACTTGCAAGTTGGGGTGCCAATTCAACTCATGAGTGTTGGAGCCCCCAAGTGCAAGTTGGGTACCCCCTCTTTGCAATCCACAAGCTGGGTGCCCCCTCCTTGCAAGTTGGCATAGGGACTTGCCAACCACCCAACTTCCCCCTTCGCTTCCAAGCTGCTCTTCCATCCAATCTCACCATCCTATGTATGCCCTCTTGTGACCTAATCAAAATATTGGTTCAGTTTACAACTTTCACACAGTGCTCCTCTAGCACTCAACACTCGCCTCCCCCCAGTGTGCTCCTCTCGCACGCAACACTCGCCCTCCCCCCAGTGCTCCTCTCGCACTCAACACTCACAGCCTATCTGACAAGCTGGTCTTCCCTGAGGCTAGTTGGTTTTTGAGTCGACTAAACAGGAGCCAGTTGGCATGGTCCTCACGCACTCAACACTCACAGAGTCTCTGAAAAACTCGGGCATGGTCTTCCCTGAAGCATCGGAGATGCGGCCTGACAGCAGCTGCAGCAGCACCACTCCCAGACTGGCGGCAGCGGGCAAAGGGGGGGAGCAGGGATGGGTGGGAAGAAGGGGGGGCAGGGATGGGTGGGAAGAAGGGGGAGCAGGGGTGGGCAGGAGAGCAGGGACGGGAATGTGGCCTGACAGCAGCTGCAGCAGCACCACTCCCAGACTGGTGGCAGCGGACACGGGATGGGCGGGAGGGATGAAGGGGATGGGTGGGGCGAGGGGGGAGGAGGGGTGCGGCACGCAGGGGCGCAGGGAGGGATGGAAAAGGAAGGAGTATATGGCAGAGCATGGCAGACGTAGTGCAGACTCTCCAAGAGTTGAGAGCGGAGCATGGCACTGGGAGCAACAAGCCAGCCAGCCTCTACGTGCGTGCACTTGGCCTCTAAGAGTGTTCTGAAAGCAACCGAGAGAGTTGAAAAACATTGTCATGGCACCCGTAGAGGTCGTTAGTGGGTGTGTGCTGCTGGGTGAGCAGCAGATGTGGGTCCACATGTGACATACCCCCGCACGCCCATCACCGCGAGCTGGTACATGAGTGAGGTCCCACGGGTCCTCATTCATGGGGAGGAGCAGCAAGGTGGAGATCCTGTTACCTGTAGAGACCTCACGTACCTGTAGAGGTCATTGGTGGGTGTGTGCTCCGGGGTGAGCAGCAGGTGCGGGTCCACATGTGACATACCCACACACCCCACTACCGCATGCTGCTCGCCACTCGTAGCCTTTTGAGACGTTTCAAAAGTACAGGGACCCATACTCGTGATTCGTGGTTGTTAGTGTTGTGCAAGCAAGAATGTCCCAGTAGGCAGATTCTCACTTTTGGTCTTAGAGGTCGTGGGTTCAACTCTCAGCAGCTGCACTTTCTTCTCATTATGCCCAACATGACATTCTCACACTCCACCACACTCACCCACAGTGAAGTGTGGTCACAGTTGGCATTGCCATCTGTCCACTCATCCCATACTCACCTTGCTGGCCCCTATGGTGTGCCACATGCTGCCATGTAGATGTAGGCTGTTGTTCCAGCCTGGTCCACATGTGCAACATGTGGCCTCAGTTGCTAGCTTGGCAAGGTTGGCTAGCCTTGCCCTCAGCTTTGAGGTGCTGCAACTAGCCTCAAGAGTTCAGCCACATATATGTGGCTTCCCACTTCTCTAGAACTCATCCTTGGTTAAGGACATTGCTCTAGCCTCTCAGGCTTGAACCACCAATCCTCATATTACAGTTAGATATTGTGTGCGTAGGTACATGGTCCCGCACCTGTAGAGGTCATTGGTGGGTGTGTGCTCCTGGGTGAGCAGTAGGTGAGGATCCACATACCCCCGCACGCCCACCACCGCGTGTTGCTCGCCACTCGCTGCAGCCCTGCGCGTCGTCACATAGTCAAACCCTGCAATCTTCGCCTGCCGTGCCGTGGCGTTGCGTTGTGTTGTGTTGGGCAAGGGGGGGAGGGGAGAGGAAGGAGAGGGAGGGGAGACTCGTTACACGCGTCGTCACATAATCAAACCCTGCAATCTTCGCCTGCCGTGGCGTTGTGTTGGGAAAGTGTGGAGCAGTGCCGTGCGGGGCAGGCGGGCGGGGTGGCATCATGTCACGTGGCCGGGCAGGATGGGGGGGGGAAAGGGGGAGAGGGAGAGGGGGGAATGCTTTCTACAGCATCAGTGTAAAAGGGCAGGGTAACCCGGTGCTATATGGACGCTGCTCCACACCACACCACCACACGAGTCCACGATATTGATCGATTCCGAAGTTCGCTTTTGAGGCGCCTCAAAAGTAGACCACACGAGTCCACGATATTGATTAATTCCGTAGTTTTCAGTCTGCAGCATGTTTGCGAGTCATGTGGTGTCGTGTGGAGTGGAGGACGATGGTGCCCTCACAGCACACTCACAGCACACTCACTCACCTGCATGTTGCCGTCCAGAAAGATGCTTCTAACGCAAAGGCAGCGATGCAGGATGCCAAAGCTGTGCAGATACTCCAACCCGTGCGCCACCCCTATGAGAATGTCCAGCTGCTGCTGCAGGGTCAAAGGCACGCCGGTGCAACCTGCGAGGAGGAGAGGAGAAAGAATGCGAGTTGACTTTTGAGTCGACTCAAAAGCCAACTTGATGCCAAAGCTGTGTAGATACTCCAACCCGTGCGCCACCCCTATCAGAATGCCCAGCCGCTGCCGCAGGGACAACGGCACGCCGGTGCAACCTGCGAGGAGAAGAGGAGAAAGAATGCGCTGTAGGGTAGATTGAAATCACGTGCCACCCCTATCAAGATGTCCAGCCGCTGCTGCAAGGACAACGGCACGCCGGTAGGGTAGAGGAGAAGAGGAGAAGAGGAGGAGAGGAGAAAGAATGCGCTGTAGGGTAGATTGAAATCACGCACCAACGTAACTGAATAGAACGCGTGCGGTGGGCGGACGGTAGGCCAAGGGCAGGGAGACCTAGCAGAGCCAAGGAAGGGGGTCAAGGGGGTCAAGGGGGCCGAATGCACAAAAGTACACGAGGCAGAACAGGAAAGGAGAAGAGCGCAAGAGAGGAAGAACAGGCACGCACCTACATGCTTGAAGTTGGCATGTTTACTTACTGCACTTACTTTTGAGAAGTCTCAAAACTTTCAAGACGTCTCAAAAGGCAAGCGCCTACATGTTTGGACTTGGCACGCACATGCACTTGCTGCACTTACAACAACAACAAAGGCTCAGTCAGAAAGAGAGGTGTGTGATGCGGCATGCCTGTTTCCTCCTAACCCACCCGGTTGAAACATGTCGTGAAGGCTGCCGGCAGTCATAAACTCATACACAACCACCTTCTCCCACCGCCCCTGCTTGTCGCGCTCGTCGCAGTACCCCAGCAGCCGCACCAGGTTGGGATGGTTCTTGTTTCCCATCTCCGCCACCTGGGGGCAGGCAAGGCAAGGCAGGGGGTGGGGCGTGGGGAAGGCAAGGCAGGGGGTGGGGAGCGGTAAAGGCAAGTCAGGGGGTGGGGGGCGGGTGGGGGGGGAGGGAGAGGGCAAGAGGAGCAACGCTTCACAAACCCCCGCCCACGCTTCACACGTGGCAGTGTGGCAGCGTGGCAGTGTGACAGCGTGGCAGTGTGACAGCGTGGCAGTGTGGCAGCGTGGCAGTGTGGCAGAGTGGCAGTGTGACAGCGTGGCAGTGTGACAGCGTGGCAGTGTGACAGCGTGGTAGTGTGACAGCGTGGCAGTGTGGCAGCGTGGCAGTGTGACAGCGTGGCAGTGTGACAGCGTGGCAGTGTGACAGCGTGGCAGTGTGGCAGCGTGGCAGTGTGACAGCGTGGCAGTGTGACAGCGTGGCAGTGTGACAGCGTGGCAGTGTGGCAGCGTGGCAGTGTGACAGCGTGGCAGTGTGACAGCGTGGCAGTGTGACAGCGTGGCAGTGTGGCAGCGTGGCAGTGTGACAGCGTGGCAGTGTGACAGCGTGGCAGTGTGATTGTGTGACAGCGTGGCAGTGTGACAGCGTGGCAGTGTGGCAGCGTGGCAGTGTGACAGCGTGGCAGTGTGGCAGCGTGGCAGTGTGACAGCGTGGCAGTGTGACAGCGTGGCAGTGTGACAGCGTGGCAGTGTGGCAGCGTGGCAGTGTGACAGCGTGGCAGTGTGGCAGCGTGGCAGTGTGACAGCGTGGCAGTGTGACAGCGTGGCAGTGTGGCAGCATGGCAGTGTGGCAGCGTGGCAGTGTGACAGCGTGGCAGTGTGACAGCGTGGCAGTGTGACAACGTGGCAGTGTGACAGCGTGGCCTTATCAGACGGACTCCCCGTGGCGTGGGGGACGACACAACAATGCAGAGCGGTTTTCCTTGGGAAATGTGTGCAGTGCGATCTGTGTGCGACTTGAAACAGCAAAATCTAGAGGCTAATCTAGTGGCTAATCTAGTGGCTAATCTAGTGGCTAATCTAGTGGCTAATCTAGTGGCTAATCTAGTGGCTAATCTAGTGGCTAATCTAGAGGCTAATCTAGTGGCTAATCTAGAGGCTAATCTAGTGGCTAATCTAGTGGCTAATCTAGTGGCTAATCTAGTGGCTAATCTAGTGGCTAATCTAGTGGCTAATCTAGTGGCTAATCTAGTGGCTAATCTAGTGGCTAATCTAGTGGCTAATCTAGTGGCTAATCTAGTGGCTAATCTAGTGGCTAATCTAGTGGCTAATCTAGTGGCTAATCTAGTGGCTAATCTTCTAACCAGCCCAGTTGAAGAAGCTTCAGAATCTCAGCCGTGCCTCACTTTCCTTCCCTCTCCTCCTTTCTTTGCCTCTTGCATCTTCCCCCTCTCCTCCCCATCACCCCTCCTCTCTCTGCTCTCCAAAACCAAACCCTTCCGCCCCCTTCCCCCTTCTCTCCCCATCACCTCCGCTACGAATTCTTCAAACTCTCGGGTGCGGCAGCGCAGTGACTTATGAGTCGACTGAAAAGTCAACTCAAAAGTATTCCCGCGCTCCCCCCCTCACCTCCGCTACAACTCCTCAAACTCGCGGGCGCGGCAGCGCTTTAACAGCCACAGGGTGACGCCGTCTCGCAGGTCTACGCCGTTTGAGTCGACCCAGAAGCCCCCCCCTCACCTCCGCCTGAAACTCTTCTGAGGCGCCTCAAAATTCAACTCAAAAGAACCCCCACCCCCCCCCCCCCCACCCCCTCCCCCTCACCTCCGCTTGAAACTCTTTAGACTCGCGGGCGCGGCAGATCTTCAAGAGCCACAGGGTGACGCCGTCTCGCGGGTCCACGCCTTTGAACATGAGGCGGTACCCGTTGCCCACGAGCAAGTGCGGTGCCCAGTGGTTCGTCGCGGTTAAAATGTCCGCCAGGGAAAACCGCACACAGGCGCCCTGGATGGGGGCGGCTGCGGGGAGGGGGAGGGGGAGGGGGAGGAGGAGGGGGAGGGGTGGGGGGTTAAGCGGCGAGCAAGGATTCTGGGAAGGAAGAGGAGGAGGGGGTGCGGCGCGGGAGGGAGGCAGAGAGGAGCAAGATACACAGAGAGGAGGAAATACAGAAGCCGGAACGAGCGGAAAGAGCGGAATGAGCAGAAAGATTGCTGGCTACGAGGGCGTGTGGGAGGCGGGCGGATCGGGGCATTTGCGAAAGACTTGAGGCGTCGCGAAAAAATGATGGCTTGGCTATTGCTAGGCGTTCAGCAATGTACCGACATGAAGCGCGGTAAGGATGGCTTGCCTCTCGAAGCCTCCGCTTGCTTGGCCTTGCCCGACTTGCCAAGAATCTTCCGCATCCTCGTCCACGTCAGCACACCACCACTCACGGCGAACCACGTGGCAGTAAGGGCCGCGCTGATCGTGCCACGTCACACATACGTGACCAATTTGAGTATTCACATCTTGAAAGCCAGCGTATAGTACGGGTACTTTTACGTGTACGTGTGCGTACTCCGAGCAGGAATTGAATAATTCCTCGTTGCTTTTCACTCGCGATGCTCACATACTAAAACGATGCTGCCAATGTCGCGCGCATGAGTTGTGCACCTGCCGGCCATCCTGTTTTGAAGGACGTCGCAAGTCGCGGGCTGAGATAATGTACGACTAAACGAACTCGTACGACCTATTCGTTATGTTACACCGAGACTGATGGACGTTCAACAAAATCTGAACAGGAAATGGGAGAAAGTATCGCAGCGCAAATTGCGCAAGATTGGGGGCGTGTCATATGGTTCGTTTGATTGCGGTGAAATGGGATGGTGTGCATGTACGAACGGTTTGTTTGAAAATCTTTGCGTTTCGGTAGGGTTTCAAGCAAAATTGAACTCCTCATGACACACCCTTGGTTTTTTGCTCAGGCTTGACTGCTGGGTGGTTGGGAGGTGGAAGGGAAGTCGATATTCCAGGGTAATCTTGGTGTTCCTTACACCCCCGAGGGCTGAAGTTGACATGTTCTGATGCTGCCCGCAAAGGTGTGATGGCATGATGGGACGGCACGCCAGAAGAGTTCATTCGACACTACTCAACCGACTGAAAATATCAACAAAACGTTCTTCAACGTAGTATATTTTGCCAGACCGCTGGAAGTGACCTCATTGTAGTTTTATGCGCATTATTGCTTCTCTTTTGAAATTCGCTTGGGTTCATCGCCTCACCCAACCCACATGCTTCCGTGCTTCGGAATTCTGTTCGTCCATGCGCCAACCCATCACCTCACCATTCACTAGGGTTAGCAGCTGGGATACTATTGCCGCCCTCACCCAAGAGTCAGTGATTAGTCGCCGACGAGACTGTAAGCCCAATGTAACAGGCTTTTACGTGACATCATCGTACTAATTTCGCGTTAGTGAGCCTAGTGAACCAGACGCTGCGTAGATTTGTTCGCCATGGCTCCTCCACCACCCGGGAAAGATTTGGCCGATTACACCGCGAATGCGGGGAATGGCGGTCGCGCGGCCCAGCGGCGAGAGCAGCGGAACGAAAACGGGCCCATGGCTGTGATGGCACCAGACGTTTACACGGTATCATATATAAGAACGCTATTTCGGACTCGATACAGCGAAGTTCGATACCATTTGCGGTTGCGCCAAGCGGTTATTTGCAGTACGATTACTATATCGCCTGTTCCTGGAAGCGTCTCCCATTTTCTTCTCCTTCCCTTCCATACTCCCTCCGTCTCTTCCGTGTCTTTCGCCCTTCGCTGTGAACCGCGTTCACCATGCAGGCTGCCTTCATCCTCATTGTAGTCCTCCTCAACCTGTACAGAGTAAGCCTCTCTTCGCTTTTCAATCTCTCATCGAGCCAGGATCGACTTCTCTTCGCTTGCGGCCATCTCTGCACCATTAAACGTTCCCGTGTTTTCCCAGTTTCCGAAACAAAGTGTTGCATAATCTCCCATTGATGTCAATCTTCGCGTGTTTTCAGGCCTCTCTGTGTTGCTGCCGTTGCTGAACGCACCGTAATATACGGGTACCTTGACCTGCCAAGTATATGGTGTTGTGAAGCATCCATTTAACTAGGGTATTGTTCATCCACAATCTGGGTGTGCATCATCTAATATTATGTCACATGTAGGTTCTCAGGCGGAGACCACCTTGGCTTAGTGTGATTTAATAACCCTGATTTGTTGTTTGTTTCTTTTGATGGGAGCAGGTTACTATGTGCACGAGCCAATTTGTGCACATCTTGGTGTGTCTAGAACTAGAATGACTTTTGTTTCCCTACTGCTATGTGGCAAGATATCATTATTAACTTTCTGTATAAATGCACAAAATGCCTGGCTGTGGTAGCCTCAAGAAAAGAGGAGTCTATACACTGCACCAGAAGAAAGAGATACTGGTCATACTTCCACAGCAGTGAAAGTGACATAATCGTGGATAAGCTCCACTCTGCATATGGCTGGCATCTGGCCTTCCACCGACTGGCATGCTACATGAGGACGCGTCACCTCTTTCAAAACTAGCAGGTTCGGGGCTAGTTCGGTGTGCACATCGGTGCGCCCACTTGCATTTTTGCGATCGCGGGGCTCCACCGAGCCAGGTGACAAGAACGGAAATTTGTGGGGCAAAATTGCCCGATCGCCTCGATTGCATTATCGATCGTCGGCTTTGGCACATCGATCTCGTGAGCCCTAGGTGACACCTTCGTGGTGACCAATTTTCTGTAGATCTTCGACGTTTCAAGAAACGTGGAGACATTTTACTTCGCCAACTCGCATAAGCCTTGTACACGTGACACACCGATCGTGTGCACGATCGATCGCCCTCCTGAAGAAAGAGGTGACGCGTCCTGAGACAAATTCCACTCTGCACTGCCATTCTTGCGCCATTCCTACATTTCTGCAATTCGCTTCACAGCTTTCTTGACTCAGCCATGGCCCGCCCCCACCGGATCGCCTCATCTCAGCTGTCCGCATTTCTCCTTTTCCTACTCGCGGCCGCGTTTTCTTCCTGCTCCGATGCGCGCATTCGCATCCCGCGCTTCCCGGGTTCGTTCCACAGGCAGCAGAAAATCCGGGCGAGCGCGCACGTAGATAAGATCGGAAACATCTATAACGAAGTTGCCGCGTCCGGAGCTTCGGCTCGCGGCGGTTACGCCTGGAACGTCTCTTATTTCACCCAGAATCTCGACCATTTCTCGTTCACCCAGTCGAGCTACGCCACGTGGCAGCAGAAGTACATCTGGTGGGACGGCGCGTGGGGCGGCGCGGAGAGCGGCGCGCCGATCTTCGTGTACTGCGGCAACGAGGGGCCGATCCAATGGTTCATGGACAACGCGGGGTGGATCCGCGAGATCGCTGTCGAATTTGGCGCGCTTGTCGTGGGACCCGAGGTGAGCCGTGCGTGTTCGCGCAACGCGCGACACGCCATAATTCTTTTATCGATTCAACTTATTAGTCGACCCGAAAGCCGCCTCGTGAAAGTCGCTCTAGTCAATAGTACAGTCGCTCAGTGCTACACGACGCGTTTTCATTTCTGTTGAAGGCGACAATGCTAGTCTGCTATTTCGAGTCCGCCATTACTCGATCTTGTTCCACCAGCGTTCAGATCTGACCTCGTTTTGCCTGAACCCCCTTGTCCACCCCCACGTTACAATAACACCCAGCATCGGCGGTACTTCGGGGAGTCGATGCCATTCGGCTCGGGAAAGAAATCCGTCAGCAACGCGTTGACTAGGGCGTTTCTCACCACACCACGGAGCAGGCCATGGCGACATGGGGACTCTTGTTGAGGCGCCTGAAAATAACACTTCTTCCCCCCCTCCTCTCCCACCTCACTTCCCCCTCCCCCCCCCCCCACTCCCTCTCCCCTCCCTCCGTCCCCTTTCCACACGCCCCCCCGCATCACAATCACATCCAGCGCCGGTAGTACGGCGAGTCGATGCCATTTGGCACGGAAAAGGAATCCTTCAGCAACGCGTTGACTCGCGCGTTCCTCACCACAGAGCAGGCCATGGCGGATATGGGGACTGTTGTTGTTGAGGCACCTGAAAAAACACCCTTCCTTCCCCCCTCCCTCTTCCCCCCGCACCTCCCCTTGGCCCCCCCACCCTTCCCCCCCTTCCCACCCTTCCCCCCCACCCTTCCCCCGTTATTATCACATCCAGCACCGGTACTATGGGGAGTCGATGCCATTCGGCTCGGAAAAGGAATCCTTCAGCAACGCGTCGACTCGCGCGTTCCTCACCACAGAGCAGGCCATGGCGGACATGGCGTTGTTTCTCACAGCTCTCAGGGCCAACTTATCCGCGCATGACTCGCCCATCATCCTCTTTGGCGGCTCTTACGGCGGCAGTAAGTGACCATTTGTCCTCACCACAGAGCAGGCCATGGCGGACATGGCGTTGTTTCTCACAGCTCTTAAGGACAACTTATCCGCACATGACTCGCCCATCATCCTGTTCGGAGGCTCGTACGGCAGCAGTAAGTGGCTTCTTGTTCTGGGGTGGCAGCCAGTAAGTGATTTGGGCTGCGCACGGCGCTCAAGGCACACCTTTCCGCGCATGACTCGCCCATCACCCTCTTTGGTGGTTCATACGGCGGCAAAAGTGGTTGCTCGCTCTCTCTCAGGATTTGGCTGCTGAGTTAATCTACCATTGCACCTCCTCCCATTGCACCTCCTCCCATTGCACCTCCTCCCACAGCTCAAGTGCTCACATTCTAGCAGCATGGTTCGGACCTAAGAACCCACATTTTGAGGTGCCTCAAAAGATGGTTCGGACCCAAGCACCCACATTCCTTCACTTTCCCGCTTGTGTGTGTGTTTGTGTTCCCCAGTGCTCGCAGCATGGTTCCGCCTCAAGTACCCGCACATAGCAGCGGGCGCCATCGCAGCATCGGCGCCCATCCTGCAATACGAGGATATTGTGCCCAGCGATACCTTCTACCGCATAGTATCGCATGATTTCAAGGTGGGTAATGGGAGGGAGGGAGCGTGACTATAACGGGCTGATGTCAGCTTGCTGCTGGCATGGCAGGTTGTTGCTGCATTGGCGCCCATCCTGCAGTGCGAGGACATCGTGCCCTGTAGTGCGAGGGATATAGTACGATTCCATGTACTGCAGGATACTTCGTACTACGGCGCCCATCCTGCAATATGGGGCATGGCAGTTTGTTGCTTGCCCCTTAGTACGAGGGACATAGTACAATATTCTGTACCCTGTAGTGTCATTATAGCGGGGCCATGGAAGCTTGTTGCAGCATCAGCGCCCATCCTGCAGCTTGTTGCCGGGTCTGCACCCATCTTGCCGGTATGAGCACGTCATGCCACCGATGTATTGCATGCCATGCCATGCCATGCCGTGCCATGCCATGCCGTGCCATGCCGTGCCGTGCCATGCCGTGCCATGCCATGCCGTGCCATGCCATACCATGCCATGCCATGCAGATAGAGAGAATGAGCCGTTTTGAGACCATCAAGTCTCTTTATCCAGTCTGTCTCTCCATGCCGTGCCATGCCATACCATGTGAATCTGATGCCATGCAATACCATGCCATTCCATCCCACACCATGCAGATAGAGAGCGAGAGCTGTTTTGAGGCCATTAAGAGCAGCTGGGCAGCAGTCAGGGAGGAGGCAGCAGCTGAGGGAGGGCTCACCCGCTTGTCACACCAGTTCCACCTTTGCAGGTGAGGCATGTGAGAGAGAGTGAGGGATTCTCAGAGGGCTGTATACATGGCGCATGGCAGCAGCTGAGGGAGGGCTCACCTGCCTGTCACACCAGTTCCACCTTTGCAGGTGAGGAGCAAGAGAAACACCCTACATGGTCTGTTGCCAAAGTCGCTGCCACAGCTGGGCGTCAACCAGGGAAGATGCAGCGGTCAGGGAGGAGGCGGCATCTGAGGGAGGGCTCACCCGCCTTTCAGAGCAGTTCTGCCTATGCAGGTGAGTGAAGTGCGTAGGCAAGCAAGGAAGGAGCCGAGATGGTTGTTACCTCAGTTGGTGCCGCAGCTGGGCGACAATCAGGGAGCAGGCAGCAGCTGAGGCAGGCTCTCCCGCCTGTCAGTGCAGTTCCGCCTGTGCAGGTGAGGCGTGTGAGTGGGGCATGCCCCTAGTGCACGCTGACTCCTCCTTCCCAATTGAGGTGACTTTTAAGTCGACTCACAAGTCACCTGTGCAGGTGAGGCGTGTGAGTGGGGCATGCCCCCCAGTGCACGCTGACTCCTCCTTCCTCTCCCATCCTCCTCTTCTCCTCCTCGTTCCCTCCGCCCTCCTAGTCCCTTGACTAACACAGATGAACTGGTTGATTGCGTGGGGGTGCCGGTCCTGGGGCTTAGGAGTGAAATCCCAACCCCTGGGGCGCGGTTCTCTTCGGGGCTATCTTGGCCAGGCTTGCCCTGGTCCGGGGTTACGACAAAGTCGTAAACGCCCAAAAAAGAAAAAAGAAAAAAAAAGACCCTAGCAGAGAGACGGATTCAGTGTTTGAGAATTGATGGCATGTACATGCCCATGGTGGACTATCCAGTGTCCTCAATCATCTTCTCCTCTCCCCCTCTCTGCTCCCTATCCTCCTCCCAGTCCCTTGATTGACGCTGATAAACTGATTCAGTGGTTGGTAACAGCTTACATCTACATGGCCACGCTCGACTACCCCGTGCCCTCTTATCACAATCCTTCTGTTCCCCTCCTCGCTGACGAGCTGATTCAGTGGTTAGAGATGGCTTATATATATTGTAATAATCACCATTGCCATGTACATTGTAAGCCCGTCTCTAACCACTGAATCGTCCTTCCAGTCGCGAAACAACGATCATGCTACTGCTGGAACCCTACGTCCGTTGTCAGCTCCTACCCTACTTACAGTTCCTGCCTACAACCTCCTCATCGCGGCCGTTTGCAAACGCTGGCATACTCTGGCTCGCCGTCAGATATCCATGCTCTTTGTGAAGGAAGGCATTGTCGTTTCGCTCCAAGATCTCACCGCTTCATTAGGTTATTCCCAAACCTCTCACATCTGCACATCAGCGACGACAGCGTAGAGACAATGAACGACAACTTCATCGATGTCCTCGTGTCGTCATGCCCTAAACTGGTTTTCCTGCACGTGGGAGATGCGATTGCGCCGCACGACTCGGGCAAGCGGGTGGACAAGCATCTGGTGACCGAAGCTGGATTGGACCCTTTTATCTGTCGCTGCACTCACCTACATCACCTCTCTCTCTCTACTGCTTGCATCCATACGGCAAGCTGCCGGATGTCCTCTCCCTGATCGCCAACCTGCACACTCTCGTTCTTACGGAAGCCTTGCAACTTGAGGCCCCTGGATTTTCGAGACCGTCTGCTCGCACCGGCCTTTCCGTCGACACTACAGAACCCGGAAATTTGAATTTCTTGAGCTTCGCGTCTCCCAGCCTTAGCGACCCTCTACATCCACCAGGCGGAATGTCTGAAATTCGAAGGCGCCGATTCCCACCCCCTCTCGTTAGCTCAAGTGCCGTCGCTGAAAGCGTTAGGTTACGAATCGCGCGGTCCGTCGTTCGAGCAAGTGTTTCTGTCAGGAGTCTCGTTCCGCAACCTCAAGACGATTGTTTTCAAAGAAAGCGAAGGCCTCGAGCGTCTTCTTGGCGACATCGGAGAGGGATTGCCGCGCCTTTGTGATCTGATCTTGTGCAGTTGCGAGAAACTCTCCGAGTTGCCGGAACAGTTCACTTCCCTTTGCTGCCTGTACCATTTGACGATTTCCTCGAGCGCCATTGTCAAGTTGCCTGAAAACTTTGGAAAGCTGCCCGCTCTAAAAAATATGTGGCTGATCCGCCTCCAAATTTCGAGTCCCCCAGATTTGTTCTACCCATGACAACTCTGGAAACCCTCCTTCTGTCCAACTGCGACCCAATCTCCGGGTTGCCTGCAAAGTTCGGTTTCCTCACCACACTCAAATACCTCTGCATCGCCAATTCGCCGCACGTACACCTTCCGAAACCAGTTTAGGACATCACGACGCGAGGACATCGAAGAAGGCGTCGCTCATTGTCTCTACGCTGTCTTCGCTGAGGTGACAGATGAGGGTTTCCAGAGTTGTCTGCTAGTAGAACGAATCTGGGAGACTCAAAATTTGAAGTAGATCAGCCTCAAATCATTTAGAGCGGGCAGTTTTCCGAAGTTTTTGGGCAGCTTGACAATGGCGCACGAGGAAATCGTCAAATGCTGCAAGCAGCTAAGGGCAGTGAATTGTTCCGGCAGCTCAGAGAGTTTTCCGCAACTGCACAAGATCAGAACGCAAAGGCGCGTCAGTCGCTCTCCGATGTTGTCAAAAAGACGCTCGAGACCTTTCCCTTTCTTTGAAAACAATCGTCTCGAGGTTGCGGAACGAGACTTTTGACGGAAACACTTGCTCGAACGGCGGACTGCGCAATTCAAGACCCAACGCTTTCAGCGACGGCACCTGGGCTAACGAGAGGGGGTGGGAATCGGCGCCTTCCAATTTCAGACAATCCGTCTGGTGGATGTAGAGGGTCGCTAAGGCCGGGAGATGCGCGAGGCTCGAGACATTCAAATTTCGGGATCTGTAGTGTCGATATAGAGGGCGGTGAGAGTAGACCGTTTCGAAAATTCAGGGGTCCAAGAGGTGAGGCTTCCGCAAGAACGAGAGTGTGCAAGTTTTCGAGCAGCGAGAGGGCATACGTCAGCTTGTCGTATGAAAGCAAGCAGCAGAGCGAGAGGTGCTGTAGTTGAGTGTAGTGACGAATGAAAGGGTCCAATCCAGCTTCGTTCACCGGATGCTCGTCTACCCGCTTGCCCCAGTTGTGCGGCGCGATCGAATCCTCCACGTGTAGGGAAACCAGTTTAGGGCATGACGACGCGAGGACATCGAGGAATGTATCGTTCATTGTCTCTACGCTGTCGTCGCTGATGTGCAGATGTGAGAGGTTGGGAAGCACTAGATGGCAGCGGTGAGATCTTGGAGCGAAACGACAATGCCTTCCTTCACAAGCAGCATGGAGACCTGACGGCGAGCCAGAGTACGCCAGCGTTTGCAATTGGCCGCGATGAGGAGGTTGTAGGCAGGATCCGTAGGGTAGGAGCTGACAACGGACTTAGGATCCAGCAGTAGCATGATCGTCGTTTTGCGGCTGCAGGGAGAACGATTCAGTAGTTAGAGACGGGCTTACAATATATATGGAAGGGATGACAATTCCAATGCTGACGAGCTGATTCAGTGGTGAGAAACAGCTTACATATACATGGCAATGGTGGAATACCCCGTGCCTTCCGACACCTCCAACTCCTCCACGCCTCCCCTCTTCCCTTCCTCCTCGTCTGATCCCTGATCCCATCCTCCCCAGTCTCCTGACTGATGCAGACGATCTGACTGAAGGGCTGGATACGGCATACATCTACATGGCCATGCTGGACTACCTCGTCCCCTCTGACTTACCTTCTCCTCCCTCCTCGCACCCTTTACCCCAGTCCCTTGACCAATGCAGACGACCTAATTGAGTGGTTGGAAACCTCCTATATCCACACGGCAATGGTGGATTACCCCGTGCCCCCGACTCTCTGTCTCCTCCTCCCCACTCTTATCCTCCTCTTCTCCTCCCAGTCCCCTAACTTACGCAGACGACTTGATCGAGTGGCTGGAGACAGCATACGTATACATGGCCACGCTGGACTACCCTGTGCCCTCTGACTTCCTCATTCTCATCTCCCCGCATGACTTCCCTTCTCTCTTCCCGCCTTCGATCTTCCTCTCCTCCAGCTCCCTGACTGATGCAGAGGTCTTGATTGCATGGTTCGAGACAGCATATATGTACATGGCAAAGGTGGACTATTCCGTGCCCTCTGAATTCCTCTTTCTCCCCTCACCCGTCCTCTCCTCTCCTCCCTCGTGGCTCTCAGCCCGTTGACCGATGCAGATGATCTTATCTCATGGTTGGAAACGGCATACATCTACATGGCAATGGTGGATTACCCAGTGCCCTCCGATTTCCTCATGCCACTGCCCGCCCACCCCATTCGAGAGGTACGCATTCGGGAGGTAGCCTTATGTCGTAATATGGGGGTTACTGAAAATAACCTGCATGGTTTGCCCTGGTGGACTACCCAGTGCCCTCTGAATTTCTCATGCCGCTGCTCGCCCATCCCAATCGAGAGATGTGTTGTGAATATGTTTTTATTGAGAATTCACATGGTAACCTGCATGGTCTGCCATGCAAAAGGTTCAGATGTGGTTGCATCAGTGCGCATGCCTTTTCACGTTCCCGTGCCTATGCATATGCGCATAGGCTTGAGCAAGGTGGCGAACACCTGTTCGGTTCGCCTCGAACGTGTTCGAGGCGAACCGAACAGTTTTTGTTTTTCAGCTTAAATCGTTCGCCCGAACGTGTTCGATGTTCGCCCGAACACGTTCGTGTTCGTGGCGCTGCTGCAGAACGCCCCGTGTCGAACACGAACGTGTTCGAGGTTCGCCCGAACATGCCTCCACAGGCGAACAGCGAACACCTGTTTTTGGCTAAACTGTTCGCCGAACCGAACAGTGTTCGGTTCGGCAAAAGGGCGTGTTCGAGAAGGGGCGAACACGAACATGTTCATGTTCGCATAATGCGCATGCATGCGCATGCACATACACAAGAATTGAAATTATGACCTTTGACCTGGTTTAATTGGCATCACTTTTGAGAATCCTCAAATTTGGCCTGGCTTTCGTTAGCATTACGCTCCGCAGCTATATGGAAATCACTTTTGAGAATTCTCAGTAGTGATTTCCGCAGCTCACACCGCCCATGTGCCCTCCCTCTCCCCCTCCCCCGTGCCCTTCACCATGTCCTCAGCTGTGTCGACGAGTGGACAGTCTCCCCTCAGGTGCTGACCTTCTCGATTGCATCTATGCCGGGGTGGGCGTGTATTCCAGCTACTCATGCCCAGAGGCGTGCTCTAACACGCCCTGCTCTCCCCCACCTTGCACCATCCCATCCCATGTGCCCTCAGCTGTGCAGGCGCGTTGACTCCCTCCCCTCAGGTGCTGATCTTCTCGATCGCATCGCTGCCGGGGTGGGCGAGTATTACAACTACTCAGGTACCCAGGCAGCGCACATTTCCACCCTTCTCCATCCTTAACCCCATGTTGTTCCCCGTGTGTGCTCAGCTGTGTCGGCGAGTTGACAGCCTCCCTGCAAGTGCCAGCCTTCTTGATCGCATCGTTGCTGGAGTGGGCGTGTATTACAACTACTCGGGCGCTGAGGCGTGCTTCAGCGTTGGCGATACCGATCCCCATGACATGTCCAATGGGTGGGACTTCCAGGTACGGTCAATGGTTGGGTGGGACTGCCCCCAAGTGCTGACCTCCTCGAGCGCATGTATGCCGGGGTGGGGGTGTGAGCCTGTATTACAACTACTCGGGCGCTGAGGCGTGCTTCAGCGTTGGCGATACCGATCCCCATGACATGTCCAATGGGTGGGACTTCCAGGTACGGTCAATGGTTGGGTGGGACTGCCCCCAAGTGCTGACCTCCTCGAGCGCATGTATGCCGGGGTGGGGGTGTGAGCCTGTATTACAACTACTCGGGCGCTGAGGCGTGCTTCAGCGTTGGCGATACCGATCCCCATGACATGTCCAATGGGTGGGACTTCCAGGTACGGTCAATGGTTGGGTGGGACTGCCCCCAAGTGCTGACCTCCTCGAGCGCATGTATGCCGGGGTGGGGGTGTGAGCCTGTATTACAACTACTCGGGCGCTGAGGCGTGCTTCAGCGTTGGCGATACCGATCCCCATGACATGTCCAATGGGTGGGACTTCCAGGTACGGTCAATGGTTGGGTGGGACTGCCCCCAAGTGCTGACCTCCTCGAGCGCATGTATGCCGGGGTGGGGGTGTGAGCCTGTATTACAACTACTCGGGCGCTGAGGCGTGCTTCAGCGTTGGCGATACCGATCCCCATGACATGTCCAATGGGTGGGACTTCCAGGTACGGTCAATGGTTGGGTGGGACTGCCCCCAAGTGCTGACCTCCTCGAGCGCATGTATGCCGGGGTGGGGGTGTGAGCCTGTATTACAACTACTCGGGCGCTGAGGCGTGCTTCAGCGTTGGCGATACCGATCCCCATGACATGTCCAATGGGTGGGACTTCCAGGTACGGTCAATGGTTGGGTGGGACTGCCCCCAAGTGCTGACCTCCTCGAGCGCATGTATGCCGGGGTGGGGGTGTGAGCCTGTATTACAACTACTCGGGCGCTGAGGCGTGCTTCAGCGTGCGTGATACGGATCCCCATGACATGTCCAATGGGTGGGACTTCCAGGTATGGAGAATGGGTGTGTGGGATTACCAACTAAGCTATGGTTATTGCATGAGCGTCTTGGTTTTGTTTTGTTTTTTGTTTTGTTTTGTTTTGTTTGTTTGTTTTTTTTTTTTTTCCATCCCCTCTCCCCCTTACTTCCACCACCCCAGGCATGCACGGAGTACGTAATGCCCATGAGCAGCAAAGCCAGCAACAGTCTTTTCTCTCTTGCTCCTCATGCCTTGCCCCACTTGTCGTCCTTCATTTCCCCCTGTGATCATCCCACCAGGCATGCACGGAGCATGTGATGCCCATGAGCAGCAGCACCAGCATTGGTCTCTCCTCTCTTCCCTGCCACTCTTGCCTTGCCCCTCTTGTCTCTCGTCTCCCCCCCATTCAACAAACCAGGCATGCACGGAGCACGTGATGCCTATGAGCAGTAACGCCAGCAACAGCCTTTTTGAGCCGTTCGAGTGGAACCAGACGGCCTTTGAGGAGAACTGCTTGCAGCAGTACGGCGTGCCTCCCCGACCCACGTGGGCCATGACCCAGTTCGGTGGACGGGTAAGTTGCTGCACCGCACCACACCGCACAGCAGTGGATTGCACCAAATAACACCCCACCGCACAGCGCGACAGAGCAGCAGCAGTCTGTTTGAGCCGTTTGAGTGGAATCAGACGGTCTTTGCAAAGCACTGCACTCAGCAGCACGGCGGCGTGCCTCCCGACCCACCTGAGCCATGACCCAGTCCGGTGGACGGGTGAGTTGCTGCACTGCACCGAACAGCACAGCACGACACCACACCTCATCGCACCAAACAGCACGACATCATAGCTGCTTTAAAGCCAGGGTCTCATGTACGGGTTGGCCGTGCAACTGCAAAGCACTTGGGCGAAAAGTGGGCTCTTTGGATAGTCTCGATTTGTCAAAACTTTGGCCCCAAATTTGTAAACCAATCAAACAGGCCTGCAAAGCACTTGGTCACTTGAGACCCTGGCTTTAAAACCTCCCCCCCCCCCCCCTGCGCCCTTCCTGTCCACACCACACCCAACTCTCTCCCCCACCCTCCCCATCCAGCCCTGTTAGTCCATCTGCTCAGCCTTGCACCACTTGGTCAGCAACGTCATGTTTTCCCAAGGTCTCCTAAAGCTAAAACCCTAAAGTCTTCCCGCCTCCCCTCGTGCCCAATCCTCCCCCCCATCTCCCCCATTCACAGTCCATCTGTTCAGCCCTGCGCCACTTCGCCAGCAACATTGTGTTCTCCCAGGGGGTTCTTGACCCCTAGAGTGACATGTCCCTTAAACCCGAAGCCTTATGTCCCCCTCCTGCCCTCCTACCCTCCTCCCCCATCCCTCCCCACGTCTTCCCCATTTACAGTCCATCCGTTCAGCCCTGCGCCATTTCGCCAGCAGCATTGTGTTCTCCCAGGGGCCCCGTGACCCCTGGAGTGACATGTCTTTTAAACCCAAGCCTTAAAGGGCGACACCCGAATTGCTCAACGAAGTCAACGCGGGAAAAATAGCTTCGGAAAGGCAGGCAATCAGAGGTTCGGAAAACTTTCTAAACCCTTTTGCCCTGAACCCAGTAGGGGTGAGACGCAAACTGGAGCCAGTTTGTGAAGGCCTTTCTGTAATTCGGGGGCCGGGCTTTAATGTCCTCCGCCTCCCCTCCTGCCCCACCCCTCCCCCCATCTCCCATTCACAGTCCATCCGTTCAGCCCTGCGCCACTTCGCCAGCAACATTGTGTTTTCCCAGGGGGCGCTTGACCCTTGGAGTGGAGGCGGGTGAGTTGCCATTAATATCACTCCTTTTCCTTTCATCTAGAAAACTAATACTGGTGCGTCGATGTATCAGTTGAAATGGTTCCAGTAACCTTATGTTTTCGTTTAAATTTACTTCTGGTTTTTTATGTTCAAAACCAGGATGTGGTGTGTTTATTTCAATGGAAACTCAGCTTTCATCTTTTTTTTTTTATCCGAGTAAAAGAGAGACTTGTGACTTCATTACTTTTGTAAGTGGCATGCTTGCATAAAGAATTCTGTGTTGTTTTACGTATTGTGATGCACAGTTTTGGTGCACAAGACGTTCCAAGATTTTTTGTATATACAATGGGGATGACACGTGAAAACATGGGTTGCGTGCAACAAACATTATTGCTTTGCAATCACTTACGAGTGACAATAAAGTTTCTTCAAAATTGCTTCCAGAGTCTCTTATCAGCGTTTGCAAAGCAATGATGCTTGTTGCACACAACTCTTTTCTTTCTCATGTCATGCACTTCATGCTTCAGCACCTACTTGACATTCAAAACGATTTATGAACTCCAAACCCTACAACAACCACCCCTTTTATTCAACACTGGCCCTCCTCATGCACTGGCCCTTTTATTCCTTTTATGATACTCTCTTGTCCCCCTCCCTCTCACCTCCCCCATCCCCCCCTCTGTTTTGTGCCCTCTTTTTCCGATCCACCTCGCCCATCTCCACCAATCAGAGTGCTCGAAGACATTTCAGACACCCTAGTCAGCCTCACCATTCCTGACGGTAGGTTTGTTGTGACCCAGCCAAGAAGAAATTGTGATGGTTGATTTGTTGTACCCCAGTTATAGAGCCATTCCTGTGTTTGAGACGTTTCAAAAGTAACCCTAGTCAGAATCTCCATTTCCGAGGGTGAGTTTGTTGTGGCCCAGCCAAAAAGTATTTCCAGTGTTTTTTTCTGTTTCATTCTTGCAAAGCCACGACGTCCCTCCTTTTGTTACTCTGGTTCACATTTTTTTTTAGCTTCAATTATGCCCTTCATCTATTAAACTCATCACCACTTGACCTACATTTGCATATGCATGCCTGATTTTCCTATATCCACACCTCCTCCCCTCCCCCAGGTGCCCACCACCTGGACCTAAGGGCGTCCACCCCGGATGGAGGAGATGCGAGAGCAGTGATCAAACATAAAGCGTTTTCTTGCATTTCCCCTCCCCACTCTTACCCAACCTGCCATATTTCAGGTGCCCACCACCTGAACCTAAGGGTGTCCACAGTCCACCCCAGATGATTTCCCTTCCGTGCGGAAGCAGAGGAAGGAGGAGAAGAAGCACATACAGAAGCGGTTCAAGCAATGCATCCCCCTCTTCCCCACACCTTGTTCTCCCTCCCAGGTGCACACCACCTCGACCTAAGGGCGTCCACCCCAGCTGACCCCCCTTCCGTGCGGAAGCAGAGGAAGGAGGAGAAGAAGCACATACAGAAGCGGTTCAAGCAATGCATCCCCCTCTTCCCCACACCTTATTCTCCCTCCCAGGTGCACACCACCTCGACCTAAGGGCGTCCACCCCAGCTGACCCCCCTTCCGTGCGGAAGCAGAGGAAGGAGGAGAAGAAGCACATACAGAAGTGGCTCAAGCAATGCATCCCCCTCTTCCCCACACCTTATTCTCCCTCCCAGGTGCCCACCACCTCGATCTAAGGGCGTCCACCCCAGCTGACCCCTCCCCACCCCTCTCCACTCCTCCCCTTCTCCCCCAGGTGCACACCACCTCGACCTAAGGGCGTCCACCCCAGCTGACCCCCCTTCGGTGCGGAAGCAGAGGAAGGAGGAGAAGAAGCACATACAGAAGTGGATTAAGCAGTGGCACAAGGACAGGGAGGAGGCAAAGAAGCATGGGAGGAATGGCCTTCGTTTCAGGTAAGGTTTTCCTTCCATCTAGCAGTTTCTCATCCTCGTTTTCTGTCTCTCACTCATCCTCCTTTTCCTTCTCTTCCATCCCACTCTCCCATCCCTCTTGCAGCTTGTTCTCTTCCTATGAAGGACGTCTCCTCCACCTCCCTCGTCTCTCTTCAGCCTCACCTCTCCTCTCGTTGTATCCTTCTTGCCTTCATTTAATGACTTCTCTCGCTCTCTCCCATCCCCCGTTCCCTTCCCCTTTGCAGCCTGCTCTCTTCCTTCTAAGACGCCTCGTCCACCTCCCGTGCTCACTTTGCTCTCTTTCACAGCCTCTTGCGTCATTATTCCTCCTCTCTTCCATCCCGCCCCCTCTCTTTCCATTCCCCCTTGCAGCTCGCTCCCTTCCTTTGAAGACATCTCCTCCACCTCCCTTGCTCTCTTCATCCTCTCTCTCGCCCTCCTCGCCACATCCGTCGCCGTATCCCTCTCTGCCACTCGCTGGGCACGACCCATTGGCACCACCTACTCACCCGCATTGCGCCATCCGCTCATGGGGGAGAGGCAGTGAGGCAGGAGGCAGCGATTATGCCTCCCTTCCCCTCTTTCGCCCGTCTTTCATTAATCGTGATTGATCTATTGGGCAAGCCCATCCCATCGGCTCCAGCTGCTCACCCCCATTTCGCCATCTGCTCATGGGTGGGAAATTGTGAGGCAGTGCGGCAGGGAGGCAGGGGGGCAGGCAGAGAGGATGGCAGGTTGGCAGGGTGGGAGGCAGGGAGGCAACGAATAATTGATTATGCCACCCCAACCTCCTTCACTTCTCCGGGCATGCCGCATCACTGCCATCCTCTACACTGTGCAACGTTTCCCATTACAGCGTATGCTAGCATGCCAGGCAGACCAGCACAGGAGCCTGAGCACGATATGTTGATAACTGTGCTCGTGTCTGCAGCTTTTGAATTAGCTCTTATGATGGTAAGGTACCTCTTGAAGAACCTGTGCGGAAGTTCTGTGGAATGGGAACCACTGGATTTTTTAGGCAATGAAGAAATGGATGAACACAATTACTTCATGTCTGCAGTTGTTTGCTTCTCCGACCTCTTTGTTTGAGTCTAACCTACATTATTGTCTTGAACCTGCACAGGACTGAAATTGACAGCCAATGCTGCAAAAGCCAGGTTCATACCAGTTGATACTATTGACAGCTAACATTAACAGGTGGTAATGACACCTAGCCAAGGAATAAGGTGTGTAATACCGTATGAGTAGGAAACTTCCCCCCTACAATACTGGGATGGGACAGTGGTCACGAATACAAAAAGATATTGTTTGCAAATATTTGTAAACATCTAACCCTAGAAAGTCCGATTGCACCACGCCTTATTCCGCTGTTGGCCACGGCATTCGAGATTGCAGTTTCCACTCCAATTGTCGCGTCGCGTTCTACGTCCCATTCAACGGTCAACCAGCTTGATACTGTCATTAGGCGCAGCGCGACGCTGTTGGCCCATATCGCAGTAGCTTAGGAGGCGAATGCGCTTGGTTTCGGCGTTGCATGCACTGACGACCGCCACGTCCCGCAACTGGCGTAGATCGTAATGGCTAAGACTAAGTACTACGCGGTTCGGAAGGGACACCAGCCAGGGATTTATCTGACGTGGCCGGAATGTCAACGACAGGTAAGCAGCTGTAGTAAGGTACTTCATTACGTGGCGTTTCGGTTTGCTAGGTATTCTATCTTTGCTGTCTCGTGCGGTTCAGTTCGGTTCTTCATGCTATAGCACGGTTCCCTCGCATTGCTGGCCAAGAACGCAACACACACCGAACACAACCGTGTTAGATTACTCGAAAACGAACGTCCTTTTCTCACCCCCAGGCCACCTCTCACCCTAAACCCAAGCCCAGGCGACAACAATGCAGGTTCTCCTTTTCCTTAGTTTGAGAGCTCTCAAAAAACGGAGTCAGCATATATACACACACTGTCCAGTCCAGTCCACCATATCGAGTATACAATGTCCTCGTTATCATCTCTCCCAGGTGAATAATTTCAGAGGCAATGAGTACAAGAGTTTTGAGACGCTGGATGAAGCCAGGTCCTACCTCGCCTTGCCTAATGTCTCTTCGCCCTTCACGCAACCCGCGGAGGCTCCAAGTCACGCCTTTATGCCTGCTGCTGCCGCTACTGCTGACCCGTATACCAGTGCTTCTTCAAATTACTCCTTTACGCCCTCTGCTGCTGCTCCCGCTACTGCTGCTATTACTCTTTTTCCTGTCGCAACAGGGGTATACGATGGTGCTGGTGAGTGCTCAAGTGCCTAGTTGTTTGTTACTACCAGTAACTCCTATCTCTTTTGATTAAGAGGTGCAACATGTTTTGCTGCGGCTAGGGCCAGCATTCCCATTCCCATTCCTGCTGCTCAGCGGACCGGCTTAGTAACCGTTTCTTCAGTTCGACTCTACAATCTGCTTCATGGTTTCAGTACTTTCAAGTTTCCACTGGCATATAAATACACAACACAGCCCTTCCCCCCCATCCCTACTCACTTCCACTCACTACCTTCCTCTCTCTTCTCGTTCTCCTACTCTCCCTCTCCCACTCACTCGAGCACTTTCGTTTCTCTCCTTTCCCTTCTTCCTCCCTCCCTCTCCACTCCACCCTAAGAAGGTTTCTGAAAACACCCTCCCACTTTTCCTTACCCTCCCACCTTTCCTTTTCCCCTCCCTTTCTACCCCACCCCATCATAGGAGGATATGCAGAGAGCCAGGGAGGAAGGGGGTGGTCTGCTGCAGGAGGGAGGGATGGGAGGGAGGGAGTGGGTGTGGGGAGGGAGGGGGGAGCGAGAGTAGTGGGAAGGCAGGGGGCTGTGAGGATGAGGAGAGGGGAGGACATGCGACCAGTCGTAGCATCACTTGGACTTCAAATAGACCCTCAGGTGAGTCTCAGGTGGATTCTCAGGTTAGTTTCCTTAGTCATTCAAAGCAACCCTTCAGTCAATTCAAAGGTGGGCTGGAAGTTAGAAGAAGTGAGGACATGCGGCCACATGTAGAGAGCCCCAATTCACAATTTGAGATTCACCTTTCATCCCCCCCAGGCGCTCTACCGCATGGAGTTTGACGGCGCCTCCAAGGACCGTTCTGCCTACTCAACGCCCTCCTCCTCGCAACGCGCCTTCTCGCTCCTACTCCATGCCTCTTCGAACCCCCCCCAGGCACTTTACCGCATGGAGTTTGACGGAGCCTCCAAGGGCAACCCGGGGCGGGCAGGGGCGGGGTCTGTGCTTCGGGATGAACATGGCAACGAGGTGAGTCTGTTGGGCTTGGGGTGGGCTGAGAGAGGTGGCCTTTCGAGTAGCAGCAGCAACCCGGGGCGGGCAAAGGCGGGATCTGTGTAGTGGGATGAACGCAGCAACGAGGTGAGATGGAGGGGCAATGAGGTGAGGCTGTCGGGCTTTGTTTCGGGAAGGAGGTGCGTTTTGAGTCGTCTCGAAAGTATATGTCCTGTGGGACGAGCGGGGTAACGAGATGAGTCGAGTCGACCATTGGAGTGTGGGACCCCTCATACCCGCCCTCCCTTCCCTTGCCCCCCTCCATACCCCACATCACCTGCCAGTTGGTGTGCATGAAGGAGGGCGTGGGGCACGGCACGTGCAACATGGCAGAGTACCGCGCGTTCATAGGGGGGGTGGAGCGGGCTCTGGCTCTCGGCATCACCAGATTGCACGTGCAAGGGGACTCCATGCTCGTGGTCATGCAGGTGGGTGGGTGAGGATGGTGGGATCAAGGTGGAAAATAAGGGCTGTACAACTGTCATCCCATCTGCTCACGATGATGCTTTTGATGTCCTTTAGGAAGCGCGACCTGTCCTTCCCATCGAGGAGGTTCCTTGCTGCAACGAAGTTTGAGGCGCCTTGAAAACTTCTGAGGCGCCTCAAAAGTCATCTGCTCACCATGATGCTTTTGATGTCCTTGAGGAATTGTGACCTGTCCTTATCATCTAGGAGGTTTTGAGACATCTGAAAACTACACTTTCTACATGTGCCTTGTCATCGAGGAGGTTGCTGCACGCAAAGGTGCAGAAGAAGTGGACAGTAAATTTGGCTAATTTACTTTAGCACGCAAAATCGGCAGCTGGCGTGTTGTGCCACTATGTTGGATTAGACGCGTCCTGCATCTGAAGGCTGGCCCTTTTCCAAATCCTCTGACATACTTCCAGTGAGCAGCAACTTTTGAGGCGCCTCAAAAGTCTTCCAGTGAGCAGCAATGCTTAGGTAAAGTATACCTAAGCATTGCTGCTCACTGAAGGCTGGCCCTTTTCCAACATAGCCGTGCCCATGCTCATGCATCTCATGCTTATGCTGGCACCTGTGCATGCATACCCACCTGCCCCCTCTCCCCACACACACACCACTCTTATAAACTTTTACCTACCCCCCTCCCCCCCCCCCCCCTCCCCCACACACACACAAATACACTTACAGGTGCAGGGCAAATGGAAGGTGAATGCGGAGATGCTGTGGGAGCCGTGCAGGCAAGCACAGCAGCTGGTGTGCCGGTTCAGAGAGATTGCCATCCGCCACGTGCCCAGGGTATGTGTCACACATTAAGAGAGGGGAGGGGCACACAGGGTGATGTTAGTGTTTGGGGAGCAGGGCAGCAGCACTGCAAGCAAACACAGCTGCTGGTGTGCCTTTCCAGAGAGATCGCCATCCGCCTCGTGCCCAGGGTAGGTGGGGAACGGAGAGGTTTTGAGAATGTAGTTTAGCCACTATGCCGAAGGAAGTCGGAACGTGATGCATGCACATGGTGTTGGTGTTGAGGGGAGGTCGTGATTCGTGTTCACACACTCAACTCAACATCACTCTTTTGAGCTGAGTAGGGTATGTGACCATAAATGGACGTACATGCATGCTATTGTGCTGGTGCAGTGAGATTGAAATTTTGCAGAGTCATCTTAGCGCAGCAAGCAGGTTCTTTGGCTGATAACTATGTTTGGCCGTTTTGCCATATCGTGCCATTGTTGCACTAGTGCATCAGTTTTCCACATGTCTATCACCTCCTTTGCCACCCCTCCACGCCCCTCATCACCGCTCACCACCTCCCAGGAGTGCAACCAGTTTGCTGATCGACTCTCCAATGAGGCGGTGCCTCTCGCAGGTTAGTCAGACCAGTTAAAGCCAGCTAGTCGTGTTTCTCACTCTTAGAGCCGTCACAGTCTTCACATGCAAGGTCTTAGCCAGTTCCTCTTTTGGGTCGACTAAAAGTTCATCCCTTAAGAGTTATCTTAATAATGTGTAAAGCTCGTCTCTTACGCAAGGCCATGCTCCCTACAGTTCTGGCAGCTTTTTCGGACCTGCACCACCCCCCTTCCTTCATTCTGTCACGATTATCCTATCCTCCCATTATCCTCTCATGATCCCTTCTATCCTCCGCTATTGCGTTTGCTATTTATTTTCAACATCCAATCATCCCTCTCTCCCCCACCCTTCCTCCCCGGGGCCTCCTCCCTTCCCTGGGCATCCTCCCTATGTTTTTTTCCAACCAGAGGGAGAACCCTCTGGGAGGGAGGAGGCCCCTCTGGGAAAAAAACAAACATAGGGAGGATGCCCAGGTAATCGACTTTTGAGGATGCCCAGGTAATCGACTTTTGAGGATGCCCAGGTAATCGACTTTTGAGGATGCCCAGGTAATCGACTTTTGAGGATGCCCAGGTAATCGACTTTTGAGGATGCCCAGGTAATCGACTTTTGAGGATGCCCAGGTAATCGACTTTTGAGGATGCCCAGGTAATCGACTTTTGAGGATGCCCAGGTAATCGACTTTTGAGGATGCCCAGGTAATCGACTTTTGAGGATGCCCAGGTAATCGACTTTTGAGGATGCCCAGGTAATCGACTTTTGAGGATGCCCAGGTAATCGACTTTTGAGGATGCCCAGGTAATCGACTTTTGAGGATGCCCAGGTAATCGACTTTTGAGGATGCCCAGGTAATCGACTTATGAGGATGCCCAGGTAATCGACTTTTGAGGATGCCCAGGTAATCGACTTTTGAGGATGCCCAGGTAATCGACTTTTGAGGATGCCCAGGTAATCGACTTTTGAGGATGCCCAGGTAATCGACTTTTGAGGATGCCCAGGTAATCGACTTTTGAGGATGCCCAGGTAATCGACTTTTGAGGATGCCCAGGTAATCGACTTTTGAGGATGCCCAGGTAATCGACTTTTGAGGATGCCCAGGTAATCGACTTTTGAGGATGCCCAGGTAATCGACTTTTGAGGATGCCCAGGTAATCGACTTTTGAGGATGCCCAGGTAATCGACTTTTGAGGATGCCCAGGTAATCGACTTTTGAGGATGCCCAGGTAATCGACTTTTGAGGATGCCCAGGTAATCGACTTTTGAGGATGCCCAGGTAATCGACTTTTGAGGATGCCCAGGTAATCGACTTTTGAGGATGCCCAGGTGATCGACTTTTGAGGATGCCCAGGTAATCGACTTTTGAGGATGCCCAGGTAATCGACTTTTGAGGATGCCCAGGTAATCGACTTTTGAGGATGCCCAGGTAATCGACTTTTGAGGATGCCCAGGTGATCGACTTTTGAGGATGCCCAGGTAATCGACTTTTGAGGATGCCCAGGTAATCGACTTTTGAGGATGCCCAGGTAATCGACTTTTGAGGATGCCCAGGTAACCGACTTTTGAGGATGCCCAGGTAATCGACTTTTGAGGCGCCTTAAAAGTCCAACCAGAGGGAGAGCGGGTAATCGACTTTTGAGGCGCCTCAAAAGTCCAACCAGAGGGAGAGCGGGTAATCGACTTTTGAGGCGCCTCAAAAGTCCAACCAGAGGGAGAGCGGGTAATCGACCCCTCCACCTCCACCCGCAACACCCACCCTCTCCACGGCTTTACTGCCCACAGCACCACGGCCGCTCTCTACGCGCCCTATTAAAAAGGAGCCTCAAGAACAGCATCTCTAGACTTGGGCGCCCGCCCAAATTCCACCCATAAACGCTGTCAGGCCGGCACAACAGCTCAAGCAGACGAGCTGCACACTAGGTTAGGCCTCCCGACACTTAGCAGTGACTTGGATTGTTTCTCCCGACCTTCTTCCTACGTCTGCCACCTGTTTGCCATGCCAACGAATCTGCCACGTTCTTTCTACATCTGCCACATCACCACAGCTGCTGGTTCACTTTGCTGCACTGTGCACTCTCATGAGGGAGAAGGCAGCGATAACATGATGCTCCCTTCCCTCATGGGGGGGAGGCAGTGAGGGAGTGAATGAGTGGGAGTGAGGCTATGGGGCAGTGGGACAGTGTGGGGCATAGTGGGGCATGGGGCAGTGTGGCCGTGGGGTAGTGGGGCAGTAGGGCAGGGGGGCAGTGTGGGCAGAGTGGGGCAGTGTGGGCAGAGTGGGATTGTGAGGCAGTGGAGCAGTGGAAAGAATTTTCAAATATTATCAGGGTTAAACAAATTATACGGTAGTTTGTACAAATGTAGTCTAAATAATGACTCTCAGCAATCAGCTATTTGCCTTCAATGTTGTACATTCAATTTCTGTCAGGCAACATACAGGAATGCCACAAACCCTAAATTCTAGTAAACATGTAGCTCCAATTGTGTACAAAGATAGTGGGTTGAATTTAAGAGGGGACGTGGATAGATTCATACTATTTATGGTATTGGTATGTGCCTACAGCTACCTACATGCAGCATACATTGTCTTTCTTTATAACTTACACAGAGATTGGGTTGGGTGTAGAAAGTGAACTGTGAACGGTGCTAGTGTTATTGCTAGCCAACTCAAGCAGCCACCATATAGCCATTACTGTGAGCCGACTTGCTCACAGCAGTGCGCAATGTGTAAAGACCCGACACAGGGTCCCAGAAGAACGTGGCAAGATGTGCTCCAGTGGTACTGTCCGTACAGATTGCGAAGTCCTCGTATGCAGGAAACGTGGTGGTGACATGGAGGTCTTGAAGATAACCAACTTCCACCCAATTCCTGGAGGACGAGTGGACGTGCAAACCTGTGACAACCGAGATCCGCTCACCACCAGTGGTGGAGAGCCAAGGTGAAACGCACCCCTTAAAGATCGGAGTGGCTACGACACCAATGGTGGAGGTGATGGCGCGAAAGCGGGCCTCGATCTTAGCGAGACTAGTTTCAAAGAGATCGATAGTGAGGTGCATGGGGTGCATGGCGAGGAGAGCGTCGCGAGCAGGCGCAAAGAAATCAGGGAGGCAGGCTGCGATGAGGTATAGTGTGAGATGCATATACGGAACCTGGCTAACAAGCTGGGAGGTAGCGCAAGTTGCGCGGTAGCTAGCGTCAAGCAAGCGCAGGTGGGTAATAAGGTCTGCGACAGTGGAGAATACTGGAGGATTGGAGAACAGCAAAGCCAGGACGAGGCGCAATCGAGTAGCAGGCGAGTGGGTGGAGTAGCGAGCAATAATAGCATCAAAACACTCCTTTGCCATCCCGAAATGACGAAAGTGCACCCACTCGGTAGGCGGGAGGAGGCGAATAAGGGCAAGGCGCGCAGCAGCGTCACGCGACTCCCAAATTCTGTATGCAAGTTGGCCCACGCGGTGAGCCTCCTGCTCTGCCGATGCGGCCTCAGCAGCAAGAGCAGGAAGACGCTGGGGAGCAGGTAGCTCACCCGACGCGTGTGCGTACAGGGTGGCGTTACCCTGGAGCTGGCTTCGCAGGTGGAGCGTGGCGTTGAGCAGCCATGCGTCAAAGTCGACCGCCCGCCCCTCCGCATCGAGCCGCAGCATTAACCCGGACGCCATGGTAGGAGTGAGAAGAGGTACAGCTTCAGCGGAGGGAACTACTACCCGCTCGCCCTCTGGTTGGAAAAAAAAAGGGATGGAAAGAAGCGGACGGGAGGGAGGAGGGAAGGAGGAATGGGGAGGGATTGGGAGAGATAGAGAAGGATGAAGGAGGATGGATGGAGCGATTAGAAAACAGTGAGAGGTGCATGAGGAAAGGACGACCAATCTTTGGAATTTTAATGGAATAAGGAAGGGGGTGGATCTAGGAGTGGAGGGATGGAAAGGAGGGGAAGGAGGAGGAGGATGGGGGTGGAGAAAAGAGGAGGAAAATTGTTGGCACAGGCTATTGTTTACAGGAAAAGGGATAGTGGGGAGGGGAGAGCAGAAGGGATAAGAGATGATGCTGTGATGGATGAAGGGAAAGGAAGGGGGGTGGAAGGATGAGGAGAAAGTAGGTGGTGTAGGTCTGCATAGGCCGCAAAGGCTGCAAAGGCTGCAAGGCCTACAATCATTAGACCCTGACTTCAAAATATGGCTTTTTGGTTGAACATCTTGGAACTTGGAAATGATACAAGCTCGTCCTTATTTTTCCTTTTATAAGCTTGACATATAATTGTGACATTGTAAGGAGTGAGCAACAACACTAGTTGGCCAGGTCTGACTAACTAACCTGCGAGAGGAACAGCCTCATTGGAGAGTCGATCCGCCAACTGGTTCCACTCCTGGGCGGTGGTGAGGGGTGACAAGCGTGACGAGGGAACGTAAAGGGGTGGTGATCGGTGGTGTGCGGTGGTGAGGGAGGTGCGTGGGAATTTGATGCGCTAGTGTAAGAATGGCACAAAATAGTTCATGTTTACAGTCCAAGAATGGCACAATCAAAGAACGGAGCACGTGTGCACGAGCATGGCACAATCAAAGAACGGAGCACGTGTGCACGAGCATGGCACAATCAAAGAACGGAGCACGTGTGCACGAGCATGGCACAATCAAGACCGTGGCATGCAATCAAAGAACGGAGCACGTGTGCACGAGCATGGCACAATCAAAGAACGGAGCACGTGTGCACGAGCATGGCACAATCAAAGAACGGAGCACGTGTGCACGAGCATGGCACAATCAAAGAACGGAGCACGTGTGCACGAGCATGGCACAATCAAAGAACGGAGCACGTGTGCACGAGCATGGCACAATCAAAGAACGGAGCACGTGTGCACGAGCATGGCACAATCAAAGAACGGAGCACGTGTGCACGAGCATGGCACAATCAAAGAACGGAGCACGTGTGCACGAGCATGGCACAATCAAAGAACGGAGCACGTGTGCACGAGCATGGCACAATCAAAGAACGGAGCACGTGTGCACGAGCATGGCACAATCAAAGAACGGAGCACGTGTGCACGAGCATGGCACAATCAAAGAACGGAGCACGTGTGCACGAGCATGGCACAATCAAAGAACGGAGCACGTGTGCACGAGCATGGCACAATCAAAGAACGGAGCACGTGTGCACGAGCATGGCACAATCAAAGAACGGAGCACGTGTGCACGAGCATGGCACAATCAAAGAACGGAGCACGTGTGCACGAGCATGGCACAATCAAAGAACGGAGCACGTGTGCACGAGCATGGCACAATCAAAGAACGGAGCACGTGTGCACGAGCATGGCACAATCAAAGAACGGAGCACGTGTGCACGAGCATGGCACAATCAAAGAACGGAGCACGTGTGCACGAGCATGGCACAATCAAAGAACGGAGCACGTGTGCACGAGCATGGCACAATCAAAGAACGGAGCACGTGTGCACGAGCATGGCACAATCAAAGAACGGAGCACGTGTGCACGAGCATGGCACAATCAAAGAACGGAGCACGTGTGCACGAGCATGGCACAATCAAAGAACGGAGCACGTGTGCACGAGCATGGCACAATCAAAGAACGGAGCACGTGTGCACGAGCATGGCACAATCAAAGAACGGAGCACGTGTGCACGAGCATGGCACAATCAAAGAACGGAGCACGTGTGCACGAGCATGGCACAATCAAAGAACGGAGCACGTGTGCACGAGCATGGCACAATCAAAGAACGGAGCACGTGTGCACGAGCATGGCACAATCAAAGAACGGAGCACGTGTGCACGAGCATGGCACAATCAAAGAACGGAGCACGTGTGCACGAGCATGGCACAATCAAAGAACGGAGCACGTGTGCACGAGCATGGCACAATCAAAGAACGGAGCACGTGTGCACGAGCATGGCACAATCAAAGAACGGAGCACGTGTGCACGAGCATGGCACAATCAAAGAACGGAGCACGTGTGCACGAGCATGGCACAATCAAAGAACGGAGCACGTGTGCACGAGCATGGCACAATCAAAGAACGGAGCACGTGTGCACGAGCATGGCACAATCAAAGAACGGAGCACGTGTGCACGAGCATGGCACAATCAAAGAACGGAGCACGTGTGCACGAGCATGGCACAATCAAAGAACGGAGCACGTGTGCACGAGCATGGCACAATCAAAGAACGGAGCACGTGTGCACGAGCATGGCACAATCAAAGAACGGAGCACGTGTGCACGAGCATGGCACAATCAAAGAACGGAGCACGTGTGCACGAGCATGGCACAATCAAAGAACGGAGCACGTGTGCACGAGCATGGCACAATCAAAGAACGGAGCACGTGTGCACGAGCATGGCACAATCAAAGAACGGAGCACGTGTGCACGAGCATGGCACAATCAAAGAACGGAGCACGTGTGCACGAGCATGGCACAATCAAAGAACGGAGCACGTGTGCACGAGCATGGCACAATCAAAGAACGGAGCACGTGTGCACGAGCATGGCACAATCAAAGAACGGAGCACGTGTGCACGAGCATGGCACAATCAAAGAACGGAGCACGTGTGCACGAGCATGGCACAATCAAAGAACGGAGCACGTGTGCACGAGCATGGCACAATCAAAGAACGGAGCACGTGTGCACGAGCATGGCACAATCAAAGAACGGAGCACGTGTGCACGAGCATGGCACAATCAAAGAACGGAGCACGTGTGCACGAGCATGGCACAATCAAAGAACGGAGCACGTGTGCACGAGCATGGCACAATCAAAGAACGGAGCACGTGTGCACGAGCATGGCACAATCAAAGAACGGAGCACGTGTGCACGAGCATGGCACAATCAAAGAACGGAGCACGTGTGCACGAGCATGGCACAATCAAAGAACGGAGCACGTGTGCACGAGCATGGCACAATCAAAGAACGGAGCACGTGTGCACGAGCATGGCACAATCAAAGAACGGAGCACGTGTGCACGAGCATGGCACAATCAAAGAACGGAGCACGTGTGCACGAGCATGGCACAATCAAAGAACGGAGCACGTGTGCACGAGCATGGCACAATCAAAGAACGGAGCACGTGTGCACGAGCATGGCACAATCAAAGAACGGAGCACGTGTGCACGAGCATGGCACAATCAAAGAACGGAGCACGTGTGCACGAGCATGGCACAATCAAAGAACGGAGCACGTGTGCACGAGCATGGCACAATCAAAGAACGGAGCACGTGTGCACGAGCATGGCACAATCAAAGAACGGAGCACGTGTGCACGAGCATGGCACAATCAAAGAACGGAGCACGTGTGCACGAGCATGGCACAATCAAAGAACGGAGCACGTGTGCACGAGCATGGCACAATCAAAGAACGGAGCACGTGTGCACGAGCATGGCACAATCAAAGAACGGAGCACGTGTGCACGAGCATGGCACAATCAAAGAACGGAGCACGTGTGCACGAGCATGGCACAATCAAAGAACGGAGCACGTGTGCACGAGCATGGCACAATCAAAGAACGGAGCACGTGTGCACGAGCATGGCACAATCAAAGAACGGAGCACGTGTGCACGAGCATGGCACAATCAAAGAACGGAGCACGTGTGCACGAGCATGGCACAATCAAAGAACGGAGCACGTGTGCACGAGCATGGCACAATCAAAGAACGGAGCACGTGTGCACGAGCATGGCACAATCAAAGAACGGAGCACGTGTGCACGAGCATGGCACAATCAAAGAACGGAGCACGTGTGCACGAGCATGGCACAATCAAAGAACGGAGCACGTGTGCACGAGCATGGCACAATCAAAGAACGGAGCACGTGTGCACGAGCATGGCACAATCAAAGAACGGAGCACGTGTGCACGAGCATGGCACAATCAAAGAACGGAGCACGTGTGCACGAGCATGGCACAATCAAAGAACGGAGCACGTGTGCACGAGCATGGCACAATCAAAGAACGGAGCACGTGTGCACGAGCATGGCACAATCAAAGAACGGAGCACGTGTGCACGAGCATGGCACAATCAAAGAACGGAGCACGTGTGCACGAGCATGGCACAATCAAAGAACGGAGCACGTGTGCACGAGCATGGCACAATCAAAGAACGGAGCACGTGTGCACGAGCATGGCACAATCAAAGAACGGAGCACGTGTGCACGAGCATGGCACAATCAAAGAACGGAGCACGTGTGCACGAGCATGGCACAATCAAAGAACGGAGCACGTGTGCACGAGCATGGCACAATCAAAGAACGGAGCACGTGTGCACGAGCATGGCACAATCAAAGAACGGAGCACGTGTGCACGAGCATGGCACAATCAAAGAACGGAGCACGTGTGCACGAGCATGGCACAATCAAAGAACGGAGCACGTGTGCACGAGCATGGCACAATCAAAGAACGGAGCACGTGTGCACGAGCATGGCACAATCAAAGAACGGAGCACGTGTGCACGAGCATGGCACAATCAAAGAACGGAGCACGTGTGCACGAGCATGGCACAATCAAAGAACGGAGCACGTGTGCACGAGCATGGCACAATCAAAGAACGGAGCACGTGTGCACGAGCATGGCACAATCAAAGAACGGAGCACGTGTGCACGAGCATGGCACAATCAAAGAACGGAGCACGTGTGCACGAGCATGGCACAATCAAAGAACGGAGCACGTGTGCACGAGCATGGCACAATCAAAGAACGGAGCACGTGTGCACGAGCATGGCACAATCAAAGAACGGAGCACGTGTGCACGAGCATGGCACAATCAAAGAACGGAGCACGTGTGCACGAGCATGGCACAATCAAAGAACGGAGCACGTGTGCACGAGCATGGCACAATCAAAGAACGGAGCACGTGTGCACGAGCATGGCACAATCAAAGAACGGAGCACGTGTGCACGAGCATGGCACAATCAAAGAACGGAGCACGTGTGCACGAGCATGGCACAATCAAAGAACGGAGCACGTGTGCACGAGCATGGCACAATCAAAGAACGGAGCACGTGTGCACGAGCATGGCACAATCAAAGAACGGAGCACGTGTGCACGAGCATGGCACAATCAAAGAACGGAGCACGTGTGCACGAGCATGGCACAATCAAAGAACGGAGCACGTGTGCACGAGCATGGCACAATCAAAGAACGGAGCACGTGTGCACGAGCATGGCACAATCAAAGAACGGAGCACGTGTGCACGAGCATGGCACAATCAAAGAACGGAGCACGTGTGCACGAGCATGGCACAATCAAAGAACGGAGCACGTGTGCACGAGCATGGCACAATCAAAGAACGGAGCACGTGTGCACGAGCATGGCACAATCAAAGAACGGAGCACGTGTGCACGAGCATGGCACAATCAAAGAACGGAGCACGT